GGCGATCGTTCCGCGTTAGCTTCGAGGAGGATCGAGGGGCAGAGGCGACGCCGCCGCGAAATCGACGCAAAATACACGAGAAACGTTGCTCGCAGCTTTCGAGAAGATCGAAGGAAGGAAGGAAGGAAGGAAGAAGGTGAGGAGGGAGCGAGAGAGAGCGAGAGGTGCGTGTATAGCGGAGGAGATCTACGGGCTCGCCGCCTATTACGGTAATTTCACGGTACGATGTCTATTCCTGCGGTCCGGAGGAGCAAGACTAATTTCATTAGGGATAAAGATCATCATTATTTCGCGACCGTCCCGAAAATTGCCGGCGTGCCTCTCTTTTTCGCGACTACACCAGAGGTTCGGACACACGGTCGCCTTTCGAGCTTCCATCCACAGCCCTGGGGGCGAAGAGAGCGCGGCCTTTATTGCCGGGCTTGCAAAGTAGACGAGGAACGGGTTTCAGCAACAATGTAGAAAATTCACGAGAATCGATGTAAGATCAGCTGCGAGGCATAGACCGTGCTCGACGCGTCACGCCAACCGACGATTCCTTATCAAAGGGTTCTGCTGATCTATCGAAGATCCGAGCGTGCGATACCAACTGGCAGCGAAAAACGATTAGGATTTCGCGTTCCCCTGGCTATCCTTATCACCGACGATCGATCTATGCGCGAGAAAATTCTACAGCTACGAGGAGGCGGAGGAGTGTAACGCGAGCAGAACGGCGCGGCGTCGCGAGGCCGCGTCACGTCGCGTCACGTCACGTCACGTCACGTAACGTCGGGCTCCGTCGAATGGATCGGCAGGAACGAATCTCGCATCCGGTCGCCGGCGTACGCGTCGTACGATCGCGATAAATCGACAGTCGATCGGGCGTCACGTAACTCACGTACGCGAGAGCAAGCTTGGCAGTCGGGTTTTTCTTCGACTGGCAGTCCGGTGTCCGGCGCTGACTGATCGAAGGAATCCTCTGTTCGTGAACGCACCGCGGCTACCTGCCGGGGGAACGGGAACGAGAACGGGAACCAGCCACGAAACGACTCGCCGCGGGAAAGTAGCCGACATTCTCGCCGATTTTTCTTCCACCGGCGAACGCGTACTGCGGGACAGGAAACACGAGCAAAATCCTGGATCGTCGCGCGACGCAGCCGCCGCCGCCGCCGCAGCGCCGATAATTGAACGCTGGCTGGCTGGCTGGTTGCTACAGAGCAACGAGACTTGCATGGATTGCTGAAATTGCGAGACTACCTGTCGCGCGAGACTCGTAGGAAAACTTGACCCACCGACGACGCGACCGCCTTCCGAGAGGAGCACGATGCTACCCTTACGGATTGAATTGCAAATTCGCTCGAGAAACGAAACCTTATTACCGAGTTGTCGAGAATTCCGAGGGAAAATTAAGAAAGTCGCGTGGGCAGCCAAGCTGTCCCTAATTGAACGCCGCGAGATCGACGCGACATCGAGAGACACCGGTGCAATTTCGTCACTCGTTACTACCTCTGGCGGCGCTCGTTACGCTAGACCAGTTATTATTTCTGTAACCGACGACGTCGTGATTTATGCTTTCCTACAACAGCCGGGCGAAAAAATCTTGCGCAACCCTACGCGACGCGTTCCGCGGCAAAATATTCGCGTCCTCGTGTGCGATTAAACGAGCCGCCTGGAGACGCCTGCACGCTCAACTAACCGGAGAGAAGCTGACAGGCCGGTCTACTACGGATCCGTTATTGCTTATTACCTATCGCTTCAACGAGCTGTCTCCGTCGCCTCCGATCGCGGCTCGCCCGACTAATTGTTCCCTCTAATTGACCAAGTTCTCAGGCTCGGACGCCGCCTCCCCTACCTCTCCGCCATCCAGTCTACGCGTTTTCACTTTTTTTTTTTCCACCTCGCCACCACGCACGTACAAGAATTCGCCGTTTCTCCTGTCTTCCGAAATCGAGCTTCGACTGGTTCGTTTCCGGAGAAAATTGCCACCGTGAGAAGAACTTTTTACAATTGCGCAACTCGCAGCGGTCGTTCTTCTATCGTGCAGAATTAATTAGAAGAAACGTGTAGGCACACTCTCGAAGCTTTAACGCGAATTAAGATATCGGCGGTCGAGACGCGGCGGATAACGAAAGCGGAAAAGTGTCGTGCCGCGACACAATTTCGCGGTTATTTTTCGCGTGCTGGAACGAGCCGGGAGCGCGGCAATTACCAGAGAAAGCGGAATATTACGCCCACGCACCGCGGAACAATTAACCGAGGCCTAACGATATCGTCGATTCGTTTCCCTCTCGCGTGACACGCTCACCCCGCCCGCGCCATACCTTACGTGACAGCTGAACGACTCGCGAATTTTTTACAAATCTCGCTTCCGCGATTGTTGATCGCGTGGTGCGGTTTATCGCGTGGCCGTTCACAAGGTACAAGCGTGACGAAACTTTCGAGGAAAAAATAAATCGACTGCGTTTTTCCCTTTGTTTCTTCCAAGGGCGTCCTTTAGTTTCCCCTGTCTCTTCTAAAGACGACCGCTCGGCAAACGTGCACGCGCCCTGTGGACGACAGCTGTCAAATAAATGTTGAAAAAAAGCGCTAGCCGAGCGAAATTTCGAGTGGGACGCGTAGCAAAGAGGGGTGGCTCGGTCGCCCCAGTGAAATACCCCAGTAGCCCGCGGGGCAAACCGTTCTGCGCGATTTTTCCACGGCTCCGAGTCTTGCCGTTCGCGGTCGATAAGTCATCCTAGTCCGCTTCACGCTTCGTGCTCTCTTCCGTCGAAGAAGAGCCTTCCTTCTTTCGGAGGGCCTTTATGCAAATTCATCGGGAATAATAATTTTGGGCAGGGCGGGGGGTATTAACGGCGGGCAAACCGACGGAAAGCGTGTTTCACGGTCTCGTTCGACCGCTCTACCCTCGGTGGAAAGCCGGTGGAAAGCCGGTGGAGAGCCGGTCGAACGGAAACAAGGCGCGAAGTTTATTCGCGTCTGGCCCGCGTCCAAATTCCCGTGGAAATAAAAACGGCGTAACGCTTCGTTAGGCTCGCCGCTCGAGACGCAAGAACCGGCTGGCTTTTCGAGTTTAACGAAGTAACACCGGTGACTAGACGTCCCCCGACGAAGAGAGCCGGTGAAGGGTGGCGAGAGACCGCCAAGGGGCAAATTTTCGAGGGTGGTTTCGCGCGTCAATGGTTTATTAAGAAGCACTTGTTTAAAGGTAGCCCCATTTCGGAACCGACAGCCAATTCGACCGCGACGTCTGTGTGTCACTCGCCTATACAAATGGATGGAACGAGGGTGGCGGGCGGCTGTAGCGCGAGAGACGATCCACTCGCCCCAACCACGCGTCGTGTCGGCGTAATTGAAGTTATTGCAATATTGTGTCCTGTCAACCAGCCTGTCCTCGACCTCCCTCCACCGCCTTCCGTCCCCGTCTTCGCTGCTCCTTCGTTTTCGCCGACCCCTCGTCGATGTTTCTCTCGCCGCGCGTTTGCGGCATTGTGTAACGCGGCCACGCCTGCTTTAATATCCCCTGCCGGAAGGATAATGCTCTCCCGGATGTATGCTCGCCGTGTACGGCAAATATCTCGCGGTAGACCGCAACCAGTCGATTAGAAACGCAGGGTGCAGCAACTTTGTAAACCGCCGTGTAAGTCCGCTCGCGTATGTGTGTGCGCGGCGCGTATATTTCAGCGAAAGAAAAGAGAAGAAGAGAAAGTTTTTCGCGTCGTGTTCGAGAGCGTGGTCTCTCCTAGGCGACAAATGTTCCACGACGATAGAAAAAAAGGAACACGCCGCCGTGCCATTTCTATCCCCGGCTAGCCGGGAAATTCAATTCGGCCCGTGAATAACGACTAACAAACCGCAGTTATATCGTAAAAAGCAATGCACCGGGCTGAGAATTAATTCCGGCTAGCTCTCCACCCACCGTAGCCTTCTCTCTCCGTCTCACTGTTCCAACTGGAACGGTCCCAAAATTCAATAAAGGCGAACGAGTCCGAGGTCTCTCCCTCGCCTCGGACGGCTTTCGTGCGGGGTAGCGACTACGGAGTTAGGAGCCCCGGAGTGATCGCGCGAGAAACGAGTGGCCAGGGGGTGGGAGCGCGAGGGTGGAGGGAGCACGGTGCATACATTAGCGGGGACAGGGTGGAGATATCGTCTGAACAAAGGGATCGGCTCGTACCTATCGAAAAGGCGATTAAGCGAGGATAAAGTTATACCACCCCACCCTACGGTGTCGCCCTGGGTGTCGTCGATTGGTTTTGCGTTAAAATCGCTTCCCAGCGGCGCACGTGTGCGCTTGCTCGTCGATCGTCGCGCCTCTTCATCGGCGGAGGAACGGATAAAGGGAAAAGAAGAAAAAAGAATTACCTGTTTGGCGGGGAGGTGAAAGAAAATTTGAGGAAGAAGGAGAGCACGTGGTCTGAGCGCGCACGTGGCAGGGAGGTGAAAAATCGGAGTAGCACGGCCGTTTCGTGTCGCGTTAAATGGCCCGTTGGAACGAGAATGCTTTTCAGGCAGCGCAGGGAGGACGAGAGGCGCGATAAAGCACGCCGGCTAACGCGAGATACGACCAATTAGCCCGCGTGCCAAGTGTACGATTTAAGTCCGCCCGAGGAGCCGGCAGACGCTGCCAACCGGCGCGAACAGCTCTCTGTTGGCTCGCATATTGCGCGCTCCCGCGCTTAATCTATGGCCACTCGTTTGTTTTCTTTCGATTCGCGAGATTAGCCGCACCTCCGGCCGCCACGCGTTTGCCTTGCCTTGCCGCGCCTTGCCTTCCCGTGCCGGCTGCACTACAGCCTGTAATACCTTCTCGTCCACGGGATTTACACGGAATGTTTTGACGCGTCCGCCGCCCACCGCAAAAAATATCCCATCTTGTCTCGTTCATCATTCTACGCGGCACGATCTAATTTACAAAGCAACGTTTAACACCTCGCGCGTATTCGGGAAATAGCGTCGTGAATCCCGCACACCGGTTACTAAAGCGGAAAAAAAGCCAAAAGCATTTGTTCTCATCGTCCACTTACCCCACGTGGTCGTTATCGACGAGGCGCAACATCCTTTCCACCGTCCACATCCGTCTCCTCTTCTTCCTCTTCTCGTTCCGCTCTCCTCTTCCCCTCTCTCCCCAACCCCCGCCCC